ATTGCATAAACAGATCAGCGCTCGAAACTGAATGAAATCACAACCAAAAGAAAGAGCTCGACGAGAGGAATCCAACGGTAGTTAAACCATCGAATTCCGACCACCGGAGAAATAGTTATGGCTCCGGGAAGCAATTTCGCCGGTGGGAGGTTTGTGCAGGCGGGATTTTGAATCTGGGAGAAGAAGAGAGAGACCGAAATGTGAGTGGCTAGGATTTAAAACTGATTTTAGAAGGGTATTATAGGTACTTCAGGGTGGCCCAGGGGAGTATGTCAAAATATTTTCGAAATGAGGGTTTCCCCTAGAGTGTAATCCACTTGGTAGTTAGTTCTATATAATTTGGAAATGAGGAGGATCTACAAAATAATCCAGATATATATATAATGGTAAAATCCCATAAAATAATGAAGAAAAAATAAATAAATATTGTTGAAGGACAATGCATCCATCATTTTGCCAACAATTCCAAAAGTCTTCCACCCACTTCTCACTTCTTCCTCCCACGTTCCATACTTCTTTTTTAAGTTAGGTTAGGTCACTTTTATCCAAACTTTAAAATAATAAATTATAATAATTTATATTTTTAGAGCAAATTACAACCATTCCCCCCGACGTAAAATCAAATTTTGAATTTGTTTGGGTAATCACAATCATCCTTCAATTATACGTCCACTTTTACGATGTCAAAGATACCTACTGAATGAACGATTATTTCGTAAGAAAATACATAATTGAAGGATAATTGTAATTTACTGAAACAAGATGAATATTTTCGCTACTTAACCTTACCTCAAGGGAATTGTCGTAATTTGCTCATATTAATTCTGATATAGATGATTCAATAGAAGCCTTTGGAAGAAAAAAAGAATACAAACCCATTGAGAAATAATTAGAAGATTTATGTCCGATGAAAATGTTGAAAGCCAAGAAATTTAATCAAAAACCAATGGTTATAGCAATTAACCACATCTCTAATTGTTTCTTCCCTTCTAAAAATCGAAATCGTAGTGTCTACATTACACGGCGGAGATGCACGAACATGTAAATAAAAGATTCAATTATTAGCCGAAAATCGAAAAAAAAGATAATCTTAGGATTATCCCAAGTACAGAAGAACTGGGGTGTAGGTTTCCTTCAGTACAACAGCCCACAGATAATAAATGGGAAAACTCATGTTATATAATATTAATAATAATCAATAAATAATTAAGTAGAATACATGTTTCATCAGAGTGAGAAAAAAAATATGTTAAAACGATAATAAAACTTCAAAAGCTGGATCCACCTTTGCTTTGCTGCAGCCAAGAAAAACTTGTATCTGATGTGTTTTTTTTTAATTCCCTAATAGTCATCTTCTCTAACCGAAAATGAATTAATTTCTTGTGTTTTTTTTACCGGACCACCCCTAAAGCCGAATGTTGGAAAACTCACCAGATACCGCCGCTACAAGAGGCTTCTCCGCCAATATCTCCGGCGGTGACGATTCTTTGACAAGAGATTGCACCCATGACAAGTCAGGCTCTTCCCCTTGTTCAACCGAAGGCGTTGTTCTCTTCAGAATACGTTGATCATCTCCACCACCCACTGACCAATCAGCTCTTCCGTTGGGCGAACCCCATTTGGCCCAATGGGGCGACCCGACTGTAGGGGAACGGGTTGACCCGATATCCCAGCTGGATCCAAGCCCCTGCCCCTGCCCTTGCATTTGTCTTTGCTGAGCGAAAGCGGAGAGATGAGCGCTCAATGGTGAAGATGACGTCTCTAAGCTTCTTGGTGACATCATCCTCGGAGACGAAGAAACACCACCGCCACCAAAAGAAGCCTGCAGTAAAGGGTGCTCCACGTTTCGAGGAGAAAACCCATTGTTAGTGTTATTATTATTGATCGGTTTATTATGCGTCGGAGAAAAGAAACCAGGAGCCATGTCCTGGTCGGAGAATCTAGGTGAAGAAGAACCAAACTCCGACGAAAAAAGCTCCTCGAGGTTCGAAGGGGTCAGCGTTGACTTTGACCGACCGCAACTTCTCAACATAGAAGAAGAATTCGAGGGGTGCGAGAAACACGCCATATCATTCAAAACCCTCTGCTGCGCATCAAAATCCTGCAACAGAATATTCCGGTCATCCACAGGAATATCCCGAGCGCTGAGCGAGGATCTCAGGCGGCTCGACTGGAAGTTGCTGCCGGGGAGATGAAGAGTCGGAACGTTCGGCTGAGGCCAAGCTGGAGAAGAATGAGACATTCCATTTGCTGTCGGAGAGAGAGTTCGATTATTGAATGGAGGCGGTGACATGGCAGCGGGGTGCGATGTGGGCGAACCAGGCAAAAGGCTCAAAGCTGCAGCCATGTCCATGAAAGTAGCCGATCTTGGAGAAGGCACACCCGAGCCAGTAGAGACGTACAATGGCCGAAGCTCTTCATGAGTGTGTGCAAAAAAACACACCTGCCTACCGCAGCTAGTGCCATCTTTGCACAGCCTCGTGCGGTACTGTGCAGGGTGCAGCCAGCACTCGAAAACACCGTGCGCATACTCGCACATGTCGCCTCTCCTACAAGCACCCTTTCGGAAATCAGGGCAAGGCACGCAGCTGTAATGGAACTTCCGTGGGTCTCGCCTGCGCGCGTTTTCTCCAGGGTGGACAAAGGGGCATTCTGTCCAGTCGTGAGAGTACGCCCTCGAACAAGGCCTCACCTTGAAGGAAAACATTCGGAACTCGTCGCTCGAGTATATGCTGTTTCGAATGTCGGGCAGAGACGGGTCCACTGGGTACTGTTTCTTCTCGGAAATTGAATTTGAAGGAATGTCGATGAATTTTGATGGAGAATATGTCGGTGACATACTCTCTGGAGATGATGACTGTGATAAAACGGGCGAAGACGCGTTAGAATTACAATTGCCAACTGACCCATCAGAAGTGTTGTTCACGAGCAAGTCCTCTAAGGCAGCTTTAGCACCAGCAGCCAGTGGAGGAGCTACAATTACATCGACAGGGCGCTGCCCATAAGCATCCTCGATATTCGGATCAGCACCAGCAGATAATAGAAGTTTGACAATATGAAATGCGTTAACTGACCCTCCGAAAGCAGCACAGTGAAGGGCAGTCCATTTATCACGACCACACAGTTTATTCAAGTCAACTTCCGGTAGAGCAACTATAAGCTTCAATACATCGACACTACCGTACATAGCAGCTACCATTAATGGTGTTCTTTCTTCTTGTATGATCTGCTTCGACCCTTTTTTACGAACATACCATGGTCCAGCCTCATCCACTCCGGATAAATCGAGCTCGATGGATCTTCTGAAAGCTTCGACATCGTTGTTGGCAGCGAATTCGAGCAGACTGGAGAAGGAATCCACCGTCTCAACGGACAATCCATTCATGCCCTTCATTGTTTTTTTAAATTTTACTACAGCGGAATGCTCCGATCAACTGTGAGTCAACAAAAAAAAACATGTGCTCAGATACAAAAGGGGATAATTCGGTTTAACCTAATACATGCGGTGATAGCTTTTAAAACAATTGAATTAGCCTTAGACATGTCGAATCAATAAAAAAAAACATTCTACCACTGATTTACCGTCATGTATTATGCCCGAAAATAATTTGCATACTACAGCAGACAGAAGGGAAAACATTTTACCAAAAAAAGCATTAAATAGAGCATCAAATACCCAATCCCAGGTGACAAAATTGAAGAAACAAAATCTTTTATTTTTTATTTTATTTGCTACTTCTTCAAAAGCAGATTAATTTCTTCATGTTTCACCAATTTTACTCTCGGACAAAAACGAATCTTCAACTGAAAAAAGGCATATAACCAAATATAAATTACTCAAAAAAATGTTCACTACCCTCATAAATGGCAGAACGTGCATAAGAAACCGTCAGCGGCTCAGCAGAGATGAAGATCGTAAATAAAATTAAAAAAAAAAAAAATCTAACCTAATTCACAGATACACACAGATCAAATCTAAAAGCTAATGAATAATTTCACAGAATCAAATCAGCACAAGCTTTACAGAAACACATCAAAATCAGATCAGTTCAAAATGAAGTCAACGCAACTGAAGGAAGAAAAAAAAAAAACACACAGAAGAAAACCTCACCGGTTTCCCCAAAAATCGCAGCTTCCATAGAAGATCTGAGAATCAATCGGACACGTCACCGATCAATTGCTTGAAGTGACAGAGAATGAAAATCCGGAGCAGAAAATTGAGTGGTCATCGCGAAAAGTTCTCTCTGGCGAGTTACATATAGATACAGGAGTGTTGTATGTATAGGAGGAGAAAATCGAGAGAAAGCGAAAGAGGGGGAAGCCTGGTTTGTTTTGTAGCGAGAGAGAGAGAGAGAGAGAAATTGTTTTAGATATTGTTGTACTCTGCGTATTTATGTGGAAGGACCTGTTGTATGTATATGTGTATGTCAGTATCTTTCTAGAGAGAGAAAGTGAAGAGAGAGAGAGAGAGAGAGAGGAGCGGTTTTGAAATTCAACTGAGATGAAATTGAAATTGAAATGAGGTTGAAATTAACGCGAAATGAAATTTTTTGTAAGAATCGAATTTAGAGTGGTGATTGGGAGGTGGGGTCCAGTGGGGAATGGAAAAATAAAAGGAGGTAGGAGTATTGGACGGTGAGAACTAAGGCTTTGTTTGGCAACTAGTGCTTGAACTTTCTCTTCTTTTTTTTCTTTTTTTTTTTCTTTTCTTTTATAATTTTTTTCTCTCTTTTTTTTTCTTAAAAAAGAAAAAAACAATTATGCAATAAATAAAGGAATAATGAAAAGAAAATTGGGCTCTTAAATTCGATTCTTTTACACCATATATCTACACATTAATAATATAGGTACAAGGGGGAGCATGCTGCAAA